ACCAACAGAGTTCTGTGGAGACAGTTGATACATATGTGTATCCTGACAGTTCTGTCAGGAACTGTCAAGATCTGAAGTGGGTTTTCTATGGGTATTTAGAAGACACTAACACCCATTTGTTTTGATTTTTGTGTTTTCTTTATACAGATTCCTTACTGTGATTACCACCACAGTAAATACTGTGCAAAAACCCCTCTCTGATTGAGTTAAGCATTAATCTCAGATATTGTTCATCACCCTAATCCACTCACACACAGAGTACTATTGGAATAATTGATACATAATGTATAAATTTTAAATGTACAACATAAAGATTTGACATGTATGTGAGTTGCAATGTGATTATCACAAAGGAATAGCTACCATCCTTCCTTCATATATTATACCCTTATTTACTTTGGTGAGAGTGATTGAGATCTATCTTCAAATTTGCACATTAACTCTATTATTCTGTACATATATCTGTAGTTTTCAGTATCTATTGTCAAATGGGTCCAAGATCTGAAGTAGAATCTCTGTGGGTAGGGAGAGGGAAACACTAACTAACGTGCTTTTGTGGTGTTTCTTTGGTTTTTTCATACAGAACAAATACAGCAACAGAGAGGTAAGTGATGACAACCAAACCTACCACTACTGAACTTAGTATTGACCTCAGATTTTGTTTTCTTACATGCACCATTTTGAGTGTAATTGTATGCGACTGTTCACATATACCATTGTATAAATTTAAGGATACACTCTAAAGAATTTTTTCTTAAAGATTTATTTATTTATACAGAACTGGGGTAAGGCCAGAGATGTGGAGGGTGAGAGGCTTCACCAGAGACAAAGTGGGAAGCAGAGCAGGCAGATCTAAGAAGTACACTGCTGAGGGGAGCAGCGGGCAGGTCAGGAGAGGTCTGCCATGCCTTGTGGATCTCTTCCAGGGTAGGCAGGAATCGAACTCATGCGGAAGTGGCTTAAGCTTCTTAGTGCTGTGCTTTAACCCACTGCGCCACCAGAGAGGGCCCACACCCTAAAGATCTTTATGCATATATATCACAAAATGATCACCACATTGATCCCCCATGTGTCACAAACTTCTATTTACTTTTGATGAGGATGCTTAAGATTTACTTTCTTAATAACATTCAGCTTTGTGTTTTAAATACATTCATTATGTTGTACATTTGTTCTTGATTTTAACTTTCCTGTTGTCAAGTGAGGACAAAGGAGGAATTTCTGTGTGGGGGAGATATGTTCTCTAACATATTTTTGTATGATTTTGTTTTTTTCCTTACAGGACACATAAATAAATTGTTCGGTAAGTTTTATGCAACAAAAAATC